TAATCATGTTTCCCCTGTCATGGGTGGAGACTTCCAACCCCCCCAATGTTCCAGCCAAAGTTACGCCCTTGCCCAGATATATGGGGGGTCATTAATGCCATTATTAAGATGCTCATTCGGAAGGAAGACATGCATGTTGAACATGCGTATGCGGCATGAAGACAAACACGCGAAAGGTATAAGATCGTATTCGGAATGGAGACCTGAAGGCGGAACATGCGCGTTCGCGTCTCATTCGGGATGAAGACATGCGCATTCGGCATGAAGACGCGGTTTCGCTTCATGAACTTTCGCATTCGGCATGAAGACGTGAAGATCCGTATTCGTTTATCGGGTTGTTACGGATACCGAAGCCCATAATGCATTTCGCGGAAAATGGCGGATGAACAGCATCAAAGGTAAAATTTTTAAGATTTTTAATTTTTTAAACGTAAATGACATTTATTTTAATTTACCACTGTTTAAACAACATCTACACAAATAACATATTAAAACCGATGGTATACATTTGAGTTCAAATTGGTCAAAGGCTTAATCATTCACAATCTAATGCATTTATTTTTCAACAGAGACCACAGACAACAGAGAAGCCTTATATGAAGAGATTATTTTAAAATAATTTTTAAATAGTAAATATTAATACTTAACAATAAAGGTATCTTTGAGCTTTTAATATGAGTGATTTTAATTTATTGGTTAAAAACACCACACTTATTTATATTGGTTTATTGCACAAAATCCATGTTTTTCACCCCTACTCCTGAATGCAGATTTTCATTCCGATATCCCCTTAAAAAGTTGGACACCTTCATTACTGTATATTTGCTCATCTGATATGTATTTATGTTAAGGGTTGGAATGAAATTCTTTGGCCTGGGGCGTCTATTGGAGCAAAATTTGGATACTGCAGCACTAGTTAATAATATGTTCTACATTGTTACAGATTCCAAGGACTTCCTCAAGATTTTTTGGACAGTATTGCAGATGTTCTTAAAAACACAGCCCGCTACCTTCAGAATCCAATTCTTGACGACGGTGATTTTATTTACTATAGAATAGAACAGATAGAAACTACTCTAATCAGATGTTTTCAGACAAGAACACGTGAAACTGATTTGGTTTTAGAAAACCTGTCAAGAGCAAAGCAGCTCTTGGAGTGTGAACCCAACAATGTCTGCACAGGTTTTGTTGTAACAACAAGTCATACAGGTACCAGAGGTCAACCTAAAATTAATGTCACCAAAGATCAGTTGGAGTTTTTCCTGGACTATAACTTTACAGTTCCACAGATAGGAGAAATGTTGGGCATTAGTACAAGAACTGTCCATAGAAGAATGGAAGAATATGGTCTTTCAATCCATAGCATTTACAGTGCAATATCTGAGGAAGACCTGCATAAACTGGTGACAAATGTGATCACAGAATTTCCAGATTCAGGCTACAAAAAAGTGTCAGGGTTTCTTTGCAGTATGGGAGTGAGGTAAGTTTTAGATAAATCTTAAGCATCAACCATATTTGTCTTAAAAATGTATATTAAAAAATAAAATAAAAAAATAAAATAAAAAAAACATATTTGTCTATAATCAAACAACAAATTGTTTATTTATATATATATATATATATATATATACTGTACATATATATATATTTGCTTGTCTAAAAATATACAGGTTACTGCAGCACATACATTTACTACTGTCTGTAGTAATTTGAATGATTAATTAATCTCTCTTTTTTGTTATGTCTTAATTTATTTCCAAATTTAGGGTGCAGAAAAAGAGGCTAAGGGAAGTTATGAGGGCTGTCGATCCCATTGGTGTTTTCTTAAGGGGCCTGACAATTAACACCATCAAGCGAAGAGGCTATAGTGTACCATCTCCATTGGCACTCTGGCACATTGAGGGCAATCACAAGTTAATCAAGTTAGTAATATACAATTTACATAAATATTATGAACATGTTTATTGCTGAAAATCAAATTGCTGCTTCAATTTGGTCAGATCATTTTAATATAGTTATAAAATTTATATAAAATATTTATATTAAAATTTATATTTTTTTATAGGTGGAGGATTATAATCCATGGAGGAATTGATGGATACAGCAGAAAAATCATGTATCTAGAAGCTAGCACCAATAACAAAGCCTCAACAGTTTTTAATAACTTTCTTGAAGCTGTTAACCTTTTTGGATTGCCTTCCCGTGTCAGAAGTGATAAAGGATTAGAGAACATTGAAGTTGCTCGATTTATGTTGGAACATCCACTTCGTGGACCAGGTATTGTTGTGTAGTCATTTCAGTATAGTTACAGGTTGAAATTACTAGTTTAAGTTTTGATTAGTTGCATTTGACAGTTATTTTTATCATGCGTTGGATTTATGAACATTAGTTTTCATTATTTGTGCTTTACCCAATTCTGTTGCATGAAATACTGTTCTGAATACGCTTGGATGGCTCCAGATAGCATCCAGTAGTCCACAGGATCGAAGTCCATCCTGGAACCTATAAAAAATGTTCATACATTGATCAAAAGAGAAAAAAAAACACCCACTAATTTTGAATGCCCTATAAACTTTGAACATGGACAATACATACAGTTAATGAGGAACATACCTTTCAAAGTGTGTCCTTGTCCTCTGAAGGACATACCAATTAATGACGTCTTGCACCACTTCGTTTTTATTGCTGACAGTGATGCTTCGCAGACATCCAGCTAGCATCAGGAGGTTCTCACATCTTTCAACAGCTTTGTCCAGGTTTTCCTTAAACTCTGAAGCTATAATCTGATATTGGATTGAAAACATTTATTTTTACAGTGAATTATTTGTTCATGCAAACATTAATATCAAGCTTTTCAAAAACGCACGAGCTGAACATCTCATAAGGAGAACTGACAAAACTTACTAAAGTATACGTAAACACTGCTATAAACACTATTTTAAAATTGTACAGCAGTCTGAAATGCAATTATACGTGTTCTTCCCCTACCTCTGACAGCAAGCTTTTTATTTCATGATCATGAATGTCCTCAATGTCTGCCTGCACACTTTCTGCACCTGACACTATGGCTTGATACAAGACTGGAGCAAAAAAATGTGGGGATGGTCCTCCTTGAACTATGCTCATTGCTATCAACTGTCCTGCATAAAAGTAGCTGTTTTCTTTCAAAGCTATATCAGAGAAAGATGAGAAATCATGCATTTAAATTCTCAACAGTAACCATAGCCTGACATATACATGAAATGTTTGATGGTTTCCCTCTGCAACACTTACAACACATATGGCACTCCAAAACTCGCTCGTAGTCAGAACCTGTGAACATTGGGCTCTGCCTTATATGTTGAAATGCAAGTCTGAAGAACTCCCTCATTGGGCCACCCATATCAACTGCTCCTTCAGAATTTCCCTCGTCATCAGTGAATTTGACATCAATTCTCTTTCTGGCAGAGAAATTTGGTCGTCTCATTGCGCGGACAGCACCATCCCAAACGTTCTTCCGGTTGATGTTGAAGCGAACAACTTCATCCATATCAAGATTCCTTTGCAGCATCTGCAAGATATCCTGCAGACTGAAAAGACAATGCATTACACAACCAAACAAAATAATAACACTAAATAACAAAACTGAGACTTGTCAATATTAAACTCACTTGACATTTGTGTTTTCTATAGCTCGACTGATTTGTTCATCCTCTGACTCACTCACATCAGAGCAAACAAGGTCCACATAGTCCCTGAAAAAATGTGCTCATTTGAGGATGTTCTTACATTTTCTATCTTTCTGAGACCTAATTTACATTAATCATACCTGTATGTACAAACAGATGTACTTTCTGTGTCTGTAACAGTGGCAGTTAAAATCTGCGGTGTGACATCAGCTTGGACGTTGGCCAGTGATTGTGAAGTACAAGGTGCTTCCTCTGCCTGGCATCCGGTATCTGGCTGTTGGTTTTGCCTTACAAGAAGAAAAATATAAAGACATTTTCATTTAAATGATACATTAAAATCACTCAGCATACATTTACATACTTTAATAAATGCTCAGAGGGTTTTAAAGTCCATTTAACACACATTCAAATAAAATCTCAGGTGATGCAAGACAAAAAAAGTCTAAATCATGTATTTTACCTTGAGCACTGTTCAAAATGCTGGACTAGAGACTGCATGGGAATATCATTTCTACAGGTCTGACATTTTTCCAGAAGTAATGCTTGGCCCTTAAGGTAGAAACCATAACAGTTAAACACAGCATAATACAAACAAGACGTATGTAAATCTCTGAACATAACTGTATTTAGTTGTTACTTGTAGTAGTTTAAAAAGTTGATTGAAGATATTTGGTAGGAGAAGTGAAATGCTTTAATGAAACATTTTCAAGTGTACAGATGTAAGATTTTTTGGGACTAACCTCATTCGGCTTACACAATCCATATGTGTTTATGCTAACTTGTAGTGGACGGATATAGCCCACTGCCTGATTCAAACCACTCTCTGTTCTAAGGTATTTCACGCTGTATCCATTGGGTGGTATTGGTAGAGGTTCCAAATATTTTGATCTAAAACATCGCAAAATTTGAAATCCTCCAGAAGTATTAAGTGGTGGATAAGCTGCATATAGGACATCACAGAGGTCTTTGTAATTGCTATTTTTATCTGGGAATGTTATTCGCTTCCTACCCAGACCACAGTTCTGTAAATGACTACGTTCTTCTGGCAAAGGTAGATGATGAACATCTTTTTCAGCAAAACAGAAGAAGTCATGTGTCCATGACTCTGTTGTTATACTTGCTCTCTTTCTCCCCATTTGGTATGGGACTCTTTGTCCTCTTAAACGGTCATATGGCTGGAACAGCTGGACCAGATTTCTTTGAATCTGGTCCTGTCTAGATGTGTTAAATTCAGAATGTGCAAGAACTGTAGAAGGACTGGCTGAGGTTGACACCCCAGGTGTTTGATTTGACACCAGTGATGTCGTTTCTGCTACAACTATGTCTGAATTTTCAGACTGTCTTGTTAATATCCTTACAGCTTGATGCAGAAGTCTGGCTGCCGCTAAATTTGGAGACTCGCCACTGGGAAAAAACGCACAATATGTACTCAGTTATCCAGACATAATTAGTCTAATGTCTGTTTGTTTCAGCAAAGAGTAGCTGTAACTGGTGATTGTGATGTCACACGTACACTACTAAAAAAACTGAAGAATAATATAACATAGCATGATGTTATAATAAAATAATACAAAGTAGTTTTAAATCATGTAGGTTTATAAATTTTAACTTCAACATATAGCAAGTTCGACCTAATGAAAAACATAACTTCAAAATACTAAGAAGTGCTAATGTTCAGTTTTACAAACATGGGTCGCGTTTACCTTTGAATGAGTGAAAACTCCTCAGTGTCAAATAAAGTAATATTTAAAATAAATTGCTTAGGGAAAGTAAAAGACACAACGATAGTTATAATACGGCTACAATCTTAAAAATTTTACCTTTGATGCTGTTCATCCGCCATTTTCCGCGAAATGCATTATGGGCTTCGTTATCCGTAACAACCCGATAAACGAATACGGATCTTCACGTCTTCATGCCGAATGCGAAAGTTCATGAAGCGAAACCGCGTCTTCATGCCGAATGCGCATGTCTTCATCCCGAATGAGACGCGAACGCGCATGTTCCGCCTTCAGGTCTCCATTCCGAATATGATCTTATACCTTTCGCGTGTTTGTCTTCATGCCGCATACGCATGTTCAACATGCATGTCTTCCTTCCGAATGAGCATCTTAATAATGGCATTAATGACCCCCCATACTAAACAGTGAAAACCGGGACTCATCTGTGAACAGAACGCCTCTCCAACGTGCCAAATGCCATCGAATGTGAGTGTTTGCTCACTCAAGTCGGTTACAATGACGAACTGCAGTCAGGTCCAGACCCCGATGAGGACGACGAGCATGCAGATGAGCTTCCCTGAGACGGTTTCTGACAGTTTGTGCAGAAATTCTTTGGTTATGCAAACCGATTGTTGCTGCAGCTGTCTGGGTGGCTGGTCTCAGGCGATCCTGGAGGTGAACATGCTGGATGTGAAGGTCCTGGGCTGGTGTGGTTACACGTGGTCTGCGGTTGTGAGGCTGGTTGTATGTACTGCCAAATTCTCTGAAACGCCTTTGGAGACGGCTTATGGTAGAGAAATGAACATTAATTTCACGGGCAACAGCTCTGGTAGACATTCCTGCAGTCAGCATGCCAATTGCAC